CAGCCCCCTCCCTGCGTCCTTGCTGTTGCTCCCGTCACCTTCCCTGACTTGGGTGTCTGTGTCTACATGGACGGGTGACGTCCGCAAATGACACGATTGGCGCTTTCTAGACTTTACGGTGAATATGTGTCGTGGAGTTTTGTCCTCCTTGTATTTCTGGAATTCATTTCTATTCACGTATTTATGTAATTAGTAAGCTCTGTGCAAATGATAACACGTCATCGTGTGCAACCAGCGTCTGTGCTTTATCAGAAATGATATTTTAATCCTATGACTTGTTTCTCACATGGTTTATGAGTTCCGTGTATAGGTTATAAGTTGCATAATTAGTGACTTTTAGAAACTGTTATAATTTGTTTCACTTGTATTCTGATTTTACTTCTATTACTTGTATTTCATTTCCTGTATTTATTTATAAATGTGTAAGTTCTGTGTATGATCATAAATAACCTGATTTACAGTTTCTATAATTCATCACCGATATATTTTATTCCTATTCAAATTTTATTTCTATGACTTATAATTTATCTATAGGATTTAGAAGACCTGTGTAAGGGATCCCTGGGTAGCGCAGCGGTTTGGCGCTTGCCTTTGGCCCAGGGCGCGATCCTGGAGACCCGGGATCGAATCCCACGTCGGGCTCCCGGTGCTTGGAGCCTGCTTCTCCCTCTGCCTATGTCTCTACGCCTCTCTCTCTCTCTCTCTGTGACTATCATAAATAAATAAATTAAAAAAAAAAAGGAGACCTGTGTAAGTTATATAATTAGCAATTTGTACAATTTATTTTAAAACATTATAACTCTTATAAAACATTACATACCTGATGTTTTCTGAATTCATATTATAAATATCCTGTACATCATAATCATATATAACATGTATAATACAATCTACATGTATGTCTATAATTCATTCCATATTTTACATAGAATATTATATTCTCTATATATGAAAAAATATTTATTCCAAATATAGATCTACCATTTATTCCATGTTCTTTTTTCTTTCTTTCTTATTTTATTTATTTATTTATCTATCAATTTATTTATTTATTTTTATTCTTTTTTTAATTCCATGTTCTATATAGAATTCTGTTCTGTATATATGAAGCAGACGTAATTTCTTCTGAATATACACCTATAGTTTATTTCTATTATTATTCACATAAGTTCCTCATATGAATCCTGTCATTTGTCATTTCTGTCATTTATTATTACGACTATCTCTGTCCTGCTTTGTGCTTGCAATGGTGCGCCGTCGTGATAGAATTTCAGAGACTCGACTCTGGCTGGGTTCGCGGGACGGAGCCTGGGGAGGATGGAGGTGCGGAGTGGGGGGGCGGGGGACTGGGGGGATGGGTATCCAGGGGGATGGAGATCTGGTGAGTGGACATCCAGGAGGGATGGAGATGCAGGGGGGATGGAGATCGGGGGGGGGGACGAGGGTTCAGGGGGGATGGGTATCCAGGGGGATGGGTATATAGGGGGATGGAGGTCGGGGGGGACAGGGGTTCAGGGGGGACAGGTATCTGGGGGGATGGAGATCGGGGGAGATGGGGGTTCAGAGGGAACAGGTATCTGGCGGGATGGAGATTGGGGAGATGGAGATTGGGAGGGATGGAGATTAGGGGTGACAGGTATCCAGGGGGGATGGAGATTTGGGGGATGGAGATTGGGAGGTATGGGGGTACAGGGGGGATGGATATCAGGGGGGATGGGGGTTCATGGGGGACAGGTATCCAGGGGGATGGAGATTGGGGGTATGGGGGTTCAGGGGGGATGGATATTCAGAGGGGATGGGTATTCAGGGGGGAAGGAGATTGGGGGAATGGGGATCCAGCATGCATGGGGATCCAGGAGGGGATGGAGATCAGGGGGGATGGGGGTTCAGGGGGGATGGAGATCGGGGGGATGGGTATCCGGGGGGAAGGAGATTGGGGGGGATGGGGATCCAGCATGCATGGGGACCCAGGAGGGGATGGAGATCAGGGGGGATGGGGGTTCAGGGGGGACAGGTATCCAGGAGGATGGAGATTGGGGGGAATGGGGGGTTCAGGGGGGATGGGTATCCAAGGGGGAAGAAGATTGAGGGTATGAGGATCCAGCAAGTATGAGGATCCATGGGGGATGGGGGTTCAGGGGAGACAGGGATCCAGGGGGGATAGGGACCCAGCAGGCTTGGGGGTCCAGAGGGGATGGGGGTTCAGGGGGAATGGAGATCAGGGGGGATGGGGATTCAGGAGAGACAGGGATCCAGGGGGGATGGAGATCCAGGCAGGGCTGCATCTGCAGTCCGGAGTACCCGCCCACACGCCCGCCCTGGGGGTTTTGGGGACGGCACGTGGCGCAGCCTGTGTCCCCGCATGACTGGGTGATAGACGGCGGGAGGGGCTGCTGGGGAGGTGGTGCCATCAGGGTGACTCATGTGTCCGCTCGGCCGGGGGGAGCCTCGCCCTGCGTGACTCACCGCTGAGTTCCCGTGAACATCTGCAGCTTGGAGGGCTGTTGGAGCCACGGGGCTGGACAGGCTTCCGCGCACAGGGGTCCACTCGCAGCCGGACCAGGGAGCTACGTGCCTTGCACACTGGACACAGGGCCCAGGCTCCGGGTCCGGGTGGTGGCAGACAAACTGGGTGGTTTGGTGCTGTTTTCTCTGGCTCTGTTGGCCCCAGGAGGCAGTGTGGGCAGCAGCGGGCACAGGGGAGCCCGGAGTCCCCTGACGTGGTCGCCCCTGATGTCACAGAGTCAGCAGTCTGGGCTTGCAACGGGTAGACCAGTTGTGTAGACGGATAGGTTGCATTCGGATAGAACTAGATTGGGAGGGCTTCCCGCTGGTCAGTGGTGCTGCCTGTCGGATCACTGGATTTCCCGACTGTCCCTGGGGGGTGTCAGCTGATGAGGATGTGGCGCATCCCTGGTGCAAACGTCGGCACAGCCTTGGAGCAACTGGCCTCCGGGTATCCGCACAACGGGCAGGGTGCGGGGAGATTTTGTAGGCTCGTGGGGAGCACGTGATGAGGGTGTGGCTTCGTGACCAGGACACAGGGGTCCCCAGGGGCACGGGGCAGGGAGCGTCCTGAGACATGGGGTCCAGGCTGCAGTGATGTCAGCTGAAGGCTTCAGGGTCTTGCACGGTGTCCTCGGCCCACAGCCACCTTGCAGGGGCGCCAGCCCCCAGGTCGGGCTGCAAGCCAAGCCCTTGCTGTGGGGCCGAGCGTGTCCTCCGGGGTCACGCAGGGGTTGGGGACGAGGCTGGGAAGGAGGGGGCCACTGACACTGCAGCCCTTGGCTGACCTGGGGGTCCTGGGAACAGTGGGCTCCATGGTTGCTTGTGGTGACTCGAGGGGGACGTTTTAGGGAGAGTGAGTCCCAGGTCAGTGGTAATGGTCAGCCCATGTGCCCATGCTTATGTGCGGTGCACACACACACACACGTGTTCAGTGCAGTACACACACGCGTGCTCACGTGCAGTGAACATGCATGCACATGTGCTCTCGTGCAGTGCGGTGTTCACATGTAGTACACATACACACGTGCTCACGTACAGTGCACACACAATGCTCACATGTAGCACACACACGTGCAGTGCACACACTGTTCACATGTAGCAGTACAGTGCACACACATGCTCATGTGCAGGGCACACACGTGTTCACGTGCAGCGCACACAGTGTTCACATGTACACATACATGCTCACATGCGGTGCACATGCATATATACGTGCTCATGTGCAGTGCACATACATAGTGTTCACACATAGTACACATACACGTGCTCAGTGGAGTGCACACATGTACTCACATGCAGTGCACACACATGCACATGTGTTCACGTGCAGTGCACATACATAGTGTTCACATGTACACATACGTTGGTGCTTACGTGCAGTGCACAGTGTTCACATGTACACACGTGCAGTGCATGTGCTCGTGCAGTGCACACACCGTGTTCAGGTGTGGCACACACAAACATGCTCGTGTGAAGTGCACATGTATGCACATGTGCTCAGTGCAGTGTACATACATACTGTTGGTAGGCAATGCACACAAACAGGCTCGTGCAGTGCACACACCCATATGCAGCAGTGCACACGTACATGCTCACTTGTAGTGCAAACGGATGCACGTGCATAGTGCAGACACATGCAGGGTTCACGTGCAGTGTGCACATATACAGGCATGCCCACGTGCAGTGCACGCACACACTCACACCCACGGCACATACAGAGTCCCACACACAGTGCACGCACATGTATATGCACATGCCCAGTGAGGTCTTTGGTGTTGGTAAACTCTCCACCTGCTGCCTCAGGGAAATGTGCCCCATGCACGTTCCTTCCTGAACACATGGAGGTGGCCCCCATGGCATGTTTGTGGGGTGTTGAATGTCTAGCACTCCCTGAGGTGGGGAAGCTGCCCCCTTGGGGTCTGGTCCTTTCGGCTACTGTCCGGCCTGCGGTCTCTGTCCTCGCCGCTGACCAGACAGCCCGTGCACACTCCTCCAAACGAATTTCCTGGGTCGTCTACTGGTTCTGCAGGAACCTGTGTTAGTTGTGTAGTCATGGAAGTCGATCATAAAAGGGGATTTTTCTGCTCGTGTGTCTTTTCCACCATGTATGGGAAATTGTTACTCATGATCTCAGAGCATCAGCTGTTGGCGAATGACGCTCCGGCAAAATCACCACGTTTTCCTACCGTCGTCACTGCTGCTAAACGTCCAGATCCTTCAGACGTGAACTAGCGTCTTACTTTCGCCGTCAACGTGAGCCTCTCGGATAGATGACGAGTTCTATTACACATTCTCTATATTTTAGAAAGCGTCATACGTTTTATTATATTTTTTATTTTTATTTTTTTATTTTTATTTTTTTTTTGCGTCATTTTAAAGAGCGACTCAATGCCGCACGCATCACGAAACCTAGGCCCTTTTCTGGGGTGTTTTCTTCTTGATTTTTACATTCTTACGTCCTCAATTTCTAACTGCACTCTTTGTCCTCGTAGGTCAAGATTTCGATTTGTCGGATGCCCTTGGCGGTGAGTCCTCTTTAAATTTAATATTTATTTATAAGATGGGAGGTGAACCGTTCCAGTCTTGACTTAAAACGGAGGATGAGTGTTTTGTCAGAACATGGTGTATCGACGCGTGTGCTGGAGTTAATGGAGTCACATGGCGAGGAAAATCCGGACGCTCCGGGTGGGAGATATTAACCCTCCTGGTGGGATCACCCCCACCCATGCTCTTGGTCTCAGTGAAAAGCGGGACCAACGTCCGCCTGCGCACCTGTCCATGGGGGTCCCGGCGGGCTCGGAATTCACGCTCCAACCACTGCCACCGCCTGAGCAATCAGGGAAAGTGGTGTTTTGGACGTTTGCCGACTCTACAAATTGCATGGAGCAATCTGAGCAATTCCTTGAGAGTTGGCACCGCTTCCCACCCGCAGGACTTGCTGATTCTGTGTCTTTTCTCTGCAGACAATGACAAGAAGCCCACGGCGCCCCCCAAGAAACCCAGCCCTGGTAAGAAGCACACGCAGGTGGCACGGACGGGAGAGATCCCGGCGGTGCGCGCCCTCCTGTTCGCCCCGAGTCGTAGACAAGCACAGAGACGAGCGGTTTCGGGGGCTCTGGACGCAGACTGGTTCCTACTGGACAGATGCTGTGACCTGGATCATAGAGTCGCATGACTTCTGTGCAACACAGGGCTGACGTGCCTCAGGGATGCTTTCGCGGGTCCCTTGTGCAGCACCTCTGTCTGCTTTCGCTCTGCTTTTGGATATTCGTTTCCTAGGGGAAGCGATTTTCGGGGCTGAGATGCCCGTAGAACCCGTGAGTGAACCCCATTGCCAACTGCGAGGACACAGCCACCAGTCCTTGTCCCGTGTCTTTCTCAGGAAAGCCAGGAATCTGGAATGGGGGGTCTGATCCGCTCCTGCTTAGCCACCCAGGCAAAAACTGATGCCCAAACCATGGACATCTATCACTGTTGGCTTTTTTAAAAAATTTGTTCTTAATTTAATAGGTTTTTTTCCATAACATTCTTGGCAGGCGGAGCGTGGAACTGCAGCTCAGCCCGCGGCGGGCATGGCGCCGTGGATTGGGACCTTCTGTTTTGTGGGTTTTGTTTTGCTCCGTTGCTCCTTTCAGGGACTTGACTCTCGTGTTGGGACTTGGGTCAGATACTCGGAGAAGTGTTTAGGGAGGCAGGGATGCAGGGTCTCCTCCATCTGTCTAGGGCCCCGAATCCTTTCCTGGGTGTTCACGGCCTGCTTCCCTTGCAGACGATGACGGGTTCAGTCTGGAGGACGCCCTCGGCGGCGGAGGAAACAGTAAGTACCTCGCGGAAGTCTCCTGGGTGGCTGAGCTGCTGGTGATCACCAGACTGTCATCATCCCCAAGAGCCTTGCACGTGTGGAGTAAGAGCTAGCGGCCACCACGCGCACGGAGGGAGTGGCGTCTTGTTGGCCGTGGTTGGCTTTCTGGCTTTTGCTTTTATTTAAAAAAAAAAACAAAAAAAAAAAACACAAAGAACCAGGCTTGTAGGCCTTGCAACCACTTATTAGGTCAATGGGAGCGCCCTTCCCCGCACGTGGGACCCGTGCCCTCTCCCACAAGGAGCCCGTCGCTCCCTTGGGTGTTGTTGCCGCCATCTTGAAATGCTCTGTGTGCTTTGAACGAGGGGCCCCGCGTTTTGGTTTGGAGCCGGGTCCCTCCAATTCTTGTCCAGACACCTGCTTTCGTTTCTGTCGGAAACGCGTGGGAGTATTAGAAAGGTTCCGTTTTCTCAAAGGTAAGTGTAAGTAGGGCAGCTGGGCCATGGCGCATAGAATGGGCAGTGGCCGTGTATGGCTTCCCGCCGATGTCTACTGTCTGCTGAACCATCTGTAGGCAAACTGATGCGGGTTTTTGGGTTTTTTGGCTTCATTTTTTGTTTTTCTGAGGGTCTTTTTTGCTGACTGCAAAGTACACATACATGCTAATGCTTGTGTTTTACCAATAGATGACCCAGTGCCGCCTAATCCACCCAAACCGAAGCCTAATCCCAACCCCAACCAGCCTGGATCCTCTGGTAAGACCCCGTACCCTGCGAGGTGTGCTGTGCGTGTCTCACACTACAGTGGTTTCCCCATCAGCCAAGAAGAGGTCATTTCAGATTAGCTTGGGCTTCATGGGGTGGGGGTGCGGGCACAAGGCCATGGTGGTTTTCCAGGAGCAGGAGACCAGTTTTCCAAACGATATTTCTGGTTAGGATTGGACCTTTTGGTTTCCTGCGGTCGACGTGCGAGGTTTCATGGACTCTTTCAAAAATGCGATGGAAGATTTTATTTTATTTTTTCAATTAAAAAGAATTTTTTTTTGATGGAGCGAGCATGCTTAGCACGGGGAGGGGTAGAGGAGAGGGAGCATCCCAAGCAGACTCCACGCTGAGCGCACAGCCCCACATGGGGCTGGATCCCACCACCTGGAGATCGTGACCTGCACCGAAATCCAGAGACGCCCAACCGCCTGAGCCACCCAGGCGCCCCTCAATGTATAGAATGGATTTGGAGAGAAGTATGAGGTCCTGGTTTCTCTCTAGAGAAGCTAGTGGATTTTCAGCCCTTTTTCCTTTTTTTGACACATCCTGATATACTTGGAATAATCTACCACCTGCTTTCTGAATTGAATGACTGTCAAGACTTCCAATTCTGAGTGCATTTCTTGCTCTGGGTTTGTTTGATTTTTAACACGGAAAAAATAACACATATTCTCCATGTTGTATACCACCGCCAGGATTTTGGTGGTTTGGGTCGCCAGTGTTTCAGGTGTAAATTTAAATGCCCCGAATTCTAAGTCCCAATGTCAATCTTTTGTTCGTATTGTCCTAATTTTGTTGTTTGTTTATTAAATTTCATAAGAATTTGTTCCACTCTTTTTGGGCGTTTTTATCGCGTGACTTTTAATGACGGTCATACTGTTGGAACACGCTTCATGTCGAAAATGTTAGTTTCTTCTGATGCTGGAGAATGATGATTCCCAAAGCAAACTTAAGACACCTTCTTTCTTAAGGATAAAGTTAAAATACATTTTGTTTCTTATTTTTAATTTTTAAGAGATTTTATTAGTCTATTCATGAGAGACACAGAGAGAGGCAGAGACACAGGCAGAGCGAGAAGCAGGCTCCCTGCAAGGAGCTCGATGCAGGACTCGATCCTGGGACCTCGGGGTCACGACCTGAGCCGAAGGCAGACACTCAACCACTGAGCCACCCAGGTGTCCCTGTTTCTTATTTTTTTTTTTTTACATTTTTATTTATTTATGATAGGCACACAGTGAGAGAGAGAGAGAGAGAGGCAGAGACTCAGGCAGAGGGAGAAGCAGGCTCCATGCACCGGGAGCCCGATATGGGATTCGATCCCGGGTCTCCAGGATCGCGCCCTGGGCCAAAGGCAGACGCCAAACCGCTGCACCACCCAGGGATCCCTGTTTCTTATTTTTTAATTTATTTTTATTTTTTTTATTTTTTGTTTCTTATTTTTTAAAAGAGATTCTGGAAGTCAAAATATTCAGGTCAGTGTGTGCTCTGGTTTTTGACCTTTTTTTCCTCCAAATTGTCCAAATTGTACCAGTTCACCCTGGTCCACCTGTTTGTGCAAACGGGCATCCCTCCTGCACACCATCACCGAGCCTGAAAACGGTTGCCAGACGTATCATGTGAAAAGCTGCATGGCCCCAGGCCCTTATTTTATGACTTTCTTTCTCAAATTAAGGAAAATAAATTCGGTGTCTCGGTTGGCCACGTATGGTTTCTCTTTTGTGGTTGCTTCTGTCCCCGGTTCTGGGTTACGTTTGAGGATAACCGGCCTCTCCTTCCTGATTGAGAAGCCTGCTTCATCCACTTGGAGATCCTATTTTCGTTCTTTTATTATGAAAACACCCCCCCCCCCATTTCAGCATTTCAGTATTTTTGACAGTGATTATTTTTATTTATTTAATTTTTGGCAAGTGAGTCTTTTAATGTGTGTGTATATGTGTGTGTTTTCCCCTGGGGTCTTTTATGCTTGAACAGCTTCCCCCGCTTCTTTGCGGCTCTTTGATTTTTCCTTTTAATTTAACAATCGCTTACTCATTGTCTGTCATCCTTCTCGGAAGAAACAAAACGCTGTCTTTATTCTCATTTGAATGCTTTCCAACAAGAAATCAATTTGGAGAGCACCGACTGTTTGCAAAATTGAGCTTTTTTTTTTTCTTTTTTTCTTTTGGATTCAGTTTTCTGTGCTTCTTTCATGTTGCTATTCCTATAAGCGTATTTCTGGATTTGCTCTTCCCTGTCTGTATTTGTGTCTGTGAACACATTGTAAGCCCTTTATTTTTCCTGCTTCTTTCTAGTGATACAGAAGTGAATTTCGTACATCTTTCCTCACTAGCCGCTGAACGACGAATCCTTCTTACCTGTTAATTATTTTACGTTCCTCGTTCAGCATTTATGAAAAGACTATGATATTATTTTTCATATACTTTTAATCAGATGTATCTGTATCTTTATATTTTTCTCTTTCCAGTTTTCTTGCATTTAAATCATTTTGCCTTGGCTAGAAGACCCATATTAAATTTCATCAAGTGCATGTCGTCATCAATGCCTATGAGCGATTTTTTTCTTTTAACTCGTGAATATGACAAAGTATATGGAAGGATGTCTCACTATAAAATACACCCTTCACTTGCTGGAATAAATCACACTGGGTCATGATAGGTTTTATTAAACTGACGGATTAAGTCTGACGTGTATCAGCTAACTACTGCTGCTTAATACACTATGCCTGAACCCAATGTAGTTTATTTTTTCTTTTTTTTTTTTCCAATGTAGTTTAAAATTTTTTAACTTGTTATGTCTTGGGGTGCCTGGGTGGCTCAGTCAGTTGAGCACCTGACTTTTGGTTTTAGCGGAAGTCAGGACCTCAGGGTTGTGACATCGAGCCCCACATGGGGCTCTGCGCTCAACATGGAGTCTGCTTGACTCCATTCTCTCTCCTTCCCCCACTGTGTCTCCCCCCCACCCCCCGCTCATGCTCTCTTTCTCAGTCTCTAAAATAAATAAATAAAGTATTTTTAAAAGTTTGTTTAGTATGTGTCACGAGTCTAGGCGAGCCTTGGTTGACCTTGGCATGGCTGTCCGGTGTCTGTGGTCAGCTGGTGGGTCTTCTGGGGTTGGCTTTTTTGGGTCATCTCAGCTGGGATGACTAAGGTCACCGTTATGTGTCTCCTTCACCCCGCTACCAGCTTTTAAATGAGTCCCTCTCAAGAGGCAAGAGCATCAACCCCAACAGAGGCTAATTTAAGATGCTGACCTGGCTCCCATTTTGCCGACTTAACCATTGTCCAGAGTAACTCACGTGGCTGAGTCCAGAATCGACAGGTGAAACTTAATATGGGTCTTCTAGCCAAGGCAAAATGATTCAAATACAAGAAAACTGGAAAGAAAAATATAAATGTAAAGATACATATAGATCTGATTTAAAAATCATTTGCAATCGACATGCCCCCAACTTGAGGAGAGTGAAGACTGAGGGCCCTTAGGGCATTGAATCTATACCAGACAGGTCCCTTGGACATTATTTTATTTTTTTCCACCCAAAAGACAGCTGTACGCTTTCCATTTCTTTTGGTATCTTTTTCAGGTTTTCTAGCAGAGTGTTCGGTAAGACTAATTTTAGGAGTTTTATTTATTTATTTTTATTTTTTATTCTTTTTTTTTTTAAATAATTTTTTTTTTTTTTATTTATGACACTCACAGAGAGAGAGAGAGAGGCAGAGACACAGTCAGAGGGAGAAGCAGGCTCCATGCACCGGGAGCCCGACGTGGGATTCGATCCCGCGTCTCCAGGATCGTGCCCTGGGCCAAAGGCAGGCGCCAAACCGCTGTGCCACCCAGGGATCCCTTTATTTTTTATTCTTAAAAAATATTTTATTTATTTACTCATGATAGAGACAGAGAGAGAGGCAGAGACACAGGCAGAGGGAGAAGCAGGCCCCACGCCGGGAGCTCGATGTGGGACTCGATCCCGGGACTCCAGGATGGCGCCCTGGGCCAAAGGCAGGGACTAAACCGCTGAGCCACCCAGGGATCCCCAATTTTAGCAGTTTTAAAGTAGAATTGGGAATTCAGTTGTCATTGTATATTTAAAAGATTTTTTTTTCTATAAAGTAGAGCCCCTCTTGGATTCCCCCTGCCACAGATCTGCTTTAGATTCCGATAGTGTTTTTCTTAGTTCTGAGACATCGAGACCCTCCCGAGAGCCCCAATATGGCAGATGATGCTGTGTTTTTATCTTCTAGGTGGCTTTTCAGATTCCGATCTCCTCGATGGAGCTTCAGATGGAGGTAAAGTTACTACTTCTTCTCTTTTCTCCCTATCACCCGCCTGCTGAACACAATGACATTAGGGTCTACACCCTTAGCCGTCAGCAAAGTTACAGTCAGCTGCTTGGAATTCGCTTCGGATCTCCAGCATTTGTAAATGCGTCAAGGGTGGGGACCGTAAGACCTGCCCCGGAGAGGCTGGTCCCTAGGAGCTGTGTTGATGGTTCAGTTACCCACCATGTCCATGGGGCTGGAGGTCAGCTGATGGAGCACTTCTCAGACATCTGAACTGCTGATCACCTGTTTGTTTTTTTCAGTGACTGTTGGGTGTCTCCAATGGCATGTTCTATTATTTAATGAACATAGAAATCAAAGCCCTGAGAATGAGCTCATGTGACCCTTGTTGGCAGCATTACAGTTCAAAAAGCAGATTTCCTAACTCTCTTTAAAATTTTAGGTTAGGGATCCCTGGGTGGCGCAGCGGTTTGGCGCCTGCCTTTGACCCAGGGCGCGATCCTGGAGACCCGGGATTGAATCCCACGTCGGGCTCCCGGTGCATGGAGCCTGCTTCTCCCTCTGCCTGTGTCTCTGCCTCTCTCTCTCTCTCTCTGTATGACTATCGTAAATAAATTAAAAAAAAACTAAAATCTTAGGTTAGGGGATCCCTGGGTGGTGCAGCGATTTGGTGCCTGCCTTTGGCCCAGGGCGCGATCCTGGAGACCCGGGATCGAATCCCACGTCGGGCTCCCGGTGCATGGAGCCTGCTTCTCCCTTTGCCTATGTCTCTGCCTCTCTCTCTCTCTCTCTCTGTGTGACTATCATAAATAAAAAAAAAAAAATCTTAGGTTAGACTAGGGTCCAAAGCTAGATATAATACATAGCATATAAGTCAATAAAAATATACACATAAGATAAATGTAATAACCTCTGTGTTTATGGAACTTAGAATATATTTATTTATTTATTATATTTACTTATAATTTGTCCTCATGTATATTGCAGTTGACCGTTGAACAAAACAGATTTGGTCTGCGTGGGTCCACTTACATGTGCATTTATTTCAATGAATGCAGTGTACTCCTGTCAATGTATTTTCCCTTCCTTATCATTTTCTTTTAAGATTTATATATTTATTCATGAGAGACACAGGCAGAGGGAGAAGCAGGCTCCCTGCGGGGAGCCCGATGTGGGCCTCGATCCTCAGATCCCTGACTCATGAAATGAGCTGAAAGCAGATGCTTAACTGCTGAGCCACCCAGGCTTCCCCCTTATGATTTTCTTTTTTTTTTTTAATTTTTATTTATTTATGATAGTCACAGAGAGAGAGAGAGAGAGAGAGAGAGGCAGAGACACAGGCAGAGGGAGAAGCAGGCTCCAGGCACCGGGAGCCCAATGTGGGATTCGATCCCGGGTCTCCAGGATCGCGCCCTGGGCCAAAGGCAGGCGCCAAACCGCTGCGCCACCCAGGGATCCCCCTTATGATTTTCTTACTGACGTTTTCTTTTCTCTAGCTTAATTTATTGTAAGAATACAGTAATACAGCGTATAACATATAGAACACATCATGTATATGTTATCAACTATTTATGTTATCAGGAAGCCTTGCAGTTTAGAGGCTCTTAGTAAGTAGTAAAGTCTTGGGAGGAATCAAAAGTTGGACTTTCGACTCTGTATGGTGTTGCCTCCCCTAATCCTCTTGTGTTGTTGAAGGGTCACTTGTATAGATCCTCAGAGTCAACAGGAATGTCCCTCGGATCACCTCATAGCCGTGGGCCGCGTCTCCATGGGTGGGTTCCAAGGCCCTGGATGGGATTCCTCCCGAGAGCAGTCAGGATCCCTGAGGCACCCAGGACTTACTGGGTCTCCTGCAGCCTACCGTGGGACGGGTGGTCTGACTCAGGAGCCGAGCCCCTCCGTCAGGTAAATGGGAACAAGTCCGATGATTATGTTTAGCAAAGCAGGGACTCAACAAAGGGAACAAAGGACTCTGTGACTTCCTTCACAACTCAAGGTCCCAGGAGTTGATCTTTGCTACGAGATTTCCTTTACCAAAAATCTTCCCAATGCAACTTGCTGCAAGCCTGTTTCTCCCTTGCAGGAGGCGGTGGCGGTGGTGGCGGCGGAAGCCAAAGGCCCGACGGGGAGGAGCAGGGTACGTACACGTGGTTTCTGATGCCTTGGGTTTCTTATATGCACTGTTGAGAAAAAGTGGAATGCAGTGGTCAGGACCAAACCTGTAGCATTGGCTCTGTCATCCTAAAGATGATGGCGCGAAGCATCAAAGTGCGATTGCTCTGTGCCAGGCCATGTCCCAAGCGCTCTGCTGGAGTATCTGGTTGACGTTCTTTAAGAGACTCAGCAAGGGAGTCTTGATGTGACCCACAGGTTACGTTGACTCATCTTCCCATAGTGCCCTAAGAAGGAATACCGTCTGTATTACCCTGGGTTGCCCAGAGAAACGGAACCATCGGGATCTATCTATAGATACACATAGGTATAGATGTACAGAAAGAGATTGATTATAAGGAATTGTCCTACATAACCATGAGGCTGAGAAGTCCCGTGATCTGCTGCCTGCAAGCTGGAGACCCAGGAGAGGCACTGGTGTGGTTCAGTCCCAGTACTTTGGACTGGAAACCAGAAGAGCCAGGAGTGCAAGTCTCCGCCCGAGTCTCAGATCCCAGGAACCAGGAGTGCCTGTGCACAAGGGCAGCCGAAGATGGATGTCCCATCTCTGCGTTCTGTTCTGTTCAGGCCCCCTATGGATTGGTCATTGCCCATCCTCACTGGTAAAGACCACCTGCTTCACGTAGTCTGTAGATACAAACATTTAGCTTTTCTGAGAACACCCCTACGGACGCATCCGGAAGGAATGTTTTTCTAGCCATGCGGACACCTCTTAGCCCAGTCAAGTAGACACAATTAACCACCACACCATCCTTGACCGACTCATGGAGCGGGACGTCTTGTGTACCCACCATGCCGAGAAATTGCTAGCTGTCAAGTCAACGTGGCACAGCTACACAGTAGCATGAGAGTTACTGATGGTGCATGGAAACTCCATCGTGGCGTAAATCAAACAAAAGTACCGAAGGGGGTCAGCGGCTTCCGCTTTCAGAAAATACTCACAGCCTCTGAGTAGTCCCAGGTGGGTACCACACACTGTGGGCTATGTTGCCTCGCCTCAGAGCTTCCACCTCAACCTGTTAGGGCCCCTGCATTGGCCATAGGGATCGGAGGAGGCCGGGTGTGTCGTCCACGGGAAACCAGTTTTGCATTGGAAGCGGTGCACGTAGTCAAATGAATTCCGATTCCAGATGTGACTTCCGGGGAGCAGTATGGCTGGCCCTTCGTATCATGCAAACGGATTGGATGTGGTGTTGGGAGTTGGACAAGGCTCAGGAGTGGGGTTTCTTCCACGGTCACCCTGTGACCCTATGTCTTGACTCTCAATCCCACCTTTTTCCCGTGGGCGGGGCCTCCAGCCACCTGCCCTGTGCCTGGTCTGCTGTCCACGAGTGTCCCCAGTCATGGTGCCGTGTGCTTCTTCCCACAGCTGACTCCCCTGGGGTAGTCCCTGGCATCATTGGGGCTGTCGTGGTGGCCGTGGCTGGAGCGATTTCTAGCTTTATCGCCTACCAGAAGAAAAAGTTGTGCTTCAAAGAAAACGGTAAGTTTTTTGGGGCTGCTTCCTTTCGTTTGTGCCTTACTAACTTGAAATCTGTGCTTTCTCAAAACTAAAACACACCAGAAGTCCGGTTGGCGTGAGACCTGTGTGAGGCTGTTGATAGTCCAAGAGATCGCTGAAATACTAGAACCAGACTTTGTAGCTTCCATTCCAGCGCCGCCCAGGTGGAGTTGTGTGGATTTTGCAAGTCACTAACCACCCCTGTCTTTGGGGTTTCCATCTATAAAGGGGAGATGATCGTCTGCACACCATAGGACTTTTGTGAGGATCCATAGGTTGAGTGTGAAAGTTTTGACAGGTTGGTTGAAGAAATGTTAGCTCATGGAAATGTTAATTCGTCCTTATTTATAATCTCTGTCATTCCTCATCACCCTCATGACAAGAGTGATGGCTGGGATGGCCGCCATATTGTTTGCCCCAACCAAGGGAATTTTTTTTCTTAAGATTTTATTTATTTATTCATGAGAGATGCAGAGAGAGAGAGAGAGAGAGGCAGAGACACAGGCAGAGGGAGAAGCAGGCCCTGTGCAGGGAGCCCGACGTGGGACTCGATCCCGCGTCCCCAGGATCACACCCTGGGCTGAAGGCAGGTGGTAAACCGCTGAGCCACCCTGGGATACCCCAACCAAGGGAATTAAAATCAAAATGTGGGGCAGCTGATTCCCTTTCTGGTACAACCCCGTACTAACTAGTGCTTGGGAGAGTTTTTGGGTAGGATATAAAATTTATAGGGGAATATGGAGGATGTCACGCCCAACAACATAGGGGTTGGAACTCCATCGTTGGCTGTTTTGAGACCATATAGGCAAGAGTTCCTGGATTACATAGGATTTGCCATGGTGTCAGTTAGCTGTATTTTGAACATAGCTCATGTTCATGCATCTCTAGGTTGCTCAAAGTTTTGACTTTCCTCTTGTAAGGTGAACACAAGGGGTGGACTCTGATGGGAATCCTATTGGGCTGTGGGTGGAGTCTCACAGTGTCTGAACGTCTCAACCTACCTGTGGTTTCAAGTCCAGATTCATACTTAGCCACTGAGCTCCATTCTCACAGATCACTGCCTGAGGACTCTAGGGAAATACACAAAAGATGGGGCACCTGGATGCCTCAGCAGTTGAGTGTCTGCCTTTGGCTCAGGTCGTGATCCCGGGGTCCTGGGATTGGGTCCCGCATCGGGCTCCCTGCAGGGAGGCTGCATCTCCTTCTGCCTTTGCCTCTGCCTCTCATGAGTAAATAAATGAAATCTTAGGGAAAAAAAAAAGATTTGAATAGATGGTGATACAAAATTTGACTATAGGCAGGGAGTCTACCCTTAATGTCCCATCTTTAGAGATTTTTAGATTCACAGACTCCGTCTGTAGCCTGAAATTGAAAGTCCCAAAGAGCTTATGGGTTCAGAGATTTAACATAAGCTGCTGTTTTGAGGGTAAGGGTGCCTCATTATGTCTATTTCCCACATGTGACCGGGTGCCTTCCATCAGAGTTGCTTGGGAAACCATGCTTGGTTGTCTGAATGTTGAGCGTCCAGCATGTCCAAATGGACAGATGACCAAGGTCAAGGACGTGCCCAAATGGACAGATGTCCAAGGTCAAGGATGTGCCCAAATGGACAGATGTCCAAGGTCAAGGATGTGCCCAAATGGACAGATGTCCAAGGTCAAGGATATGTCCAAATGGACAGATGACCAAGGTCAAGGACGTGCCTAAATGGACAGATGTCCAAGGTCAAGGACGTGCCCAAATGGACAGATGACCAAGGTCAAGGACATGCCCAATGGACAGATGACCCAGGTCAAGGATGTGCCCAAATGGACAGATGACCAAGGTCAAGGACGTGCCCAAATGGACAGATGTCCAAGGTCAAGGGCGTGTCCAAATGGACAGATGTCCAAGGTCAAGGATGTGTCCAAAGGGACAGATGACCAAGGTCAAGGACGTGCCCAAATAGATGACCAAGGTCAAGAACATGTCCAAATGGACTTCATTTCTGCCCCCTCTCTGAAGATGCTCAGCTCAGAGCATGATGCCCAGCCCAGAGAGGGGGAAGGCACGCCTGCTAGGGAAGGAGGTATGGGAAGTCCAGGCACAATGATTTTCTGAAAATCTGTAGGTGACTTTCAAACCCAATTTGGATCTCCAAATCCAGTCGGATTCTGGAGTTGTAAGGCATTTACATCACCTTGTGTTTGGGATATATGCCCCCCCTTGGATGTTATGGTGCCAATTTGACATTCATATGCCAAGGCACTATGCCAAGGCACAGCGGTTTGGGGGAAGGACCCAAGAATCTTAATGGACTTGACATTGTCTGATACTTGGAGTGGGGTTAGGAACTTGGGAAAGCAAGTGTTCTCCATCCCCCTGTACCCCATTCCTGGATTTTGGTCTTTGTTTGAAGCATTCGTGTTCCTAACACGGGGTGAAAACGGAAAATTCCCCAGGTAGAAATAGTCGAATTAACAAATTTCAAAAATAAAAGCATCTTCCCAAAAGAATGGGCTCAGGGCGCTCTGGAACTCAACACATGCTTACTGAGCAGCGAGCTAAATTCTTCATTTACCCAGGATTTCGTACAGTTTCTCCTGCGTGAGCCAATTGAATATTGGGGCCAACTTTATAAGCTCGATTTGCTTTCTGGTTTTATTGGAGTTGGGGATCTTAGCTGATTTAGACACACAAAGAAAAAGTAAAAAAAAAAAACTGGTGGGAAAAAAGAGGTGGATTAAAACAAAGGAAGTAGGCTGGTAGTTCCGATATCAGTTGTTAAGGACCTTTATCTGTAGCCATAAAATGCCCAGAGTTAAGATAAAGAAAACCGGGTGCTCTTTTTCTATAAACCCCAAGACGCTAACGCGGGACAGTGAGTATCTCTTTGGAGTCCAGGAATAGATATTTTGGTGTTTTCGACCTGTGTTAGCGGGGAGCTCGGTGTTTGTCTCCGTGATGCGTTTTTATGAACAGAGGTAGAAATGAAGTGTTGGGTCCGGGCATTGGGCCCTGGAAGATCCTAGAGCTTTCGGGGCGTCTGTATAGGAATATTGATGGGTTTTCTTCATGGGGTCAAGAAGTGCGCATCCACGGGTAGCTGTGAGCTTGGACGTTTCCTAAGAAGGATGTGGCCACGGTGCATCCCACTGCTTCTGCTTGAAGGAACCATGGTTTTGGGGGGAAAATCATTGTTCTGCAAGAGTGACTATTTATAAAGAGGGTGGTTTTCCAGGACCTTGTCACTGCGTTCAATTTCGTGGTGTCTGTTGACTCAGGCGCCATCAACTGGGCGCAAACCGGGGCGCGCTCTCAGCCCGGAGACGCATCCGGCAAATACGAGCCGACCTGCTGTAAATGTACTGAAGCGCTTTTGAGTATCACGTTCTGAGCTGATGCCCGGAATCCATGGCCGATGGGATTTGGTAGATGTGTCCTGTCTTCCTGGAGGTCTGGATGTGTCCCCGAGAGTTTAACGTGGTTTTCTTCCAATTGACGCGTGCTGGGCTCCCCGCCGACATGATGCGTGGTTTGCTGTGCTGGCTCCACGTGACCGGTTTGAGCGGCAAATGGCGTGGGTGGTGACCTGCTTTCACAGAGCTGTCACCTGGCGGGCACGACGCTGTCGTCTCGGCTGGTTCTGGCTGTTTGCGGGCTTGTCCGCCTGATGTCCGCAGCGGATGCTTGAGGCGTTGCTGGCGTGAGCTGCATCCATCCCCATCTCCACCTCCCTGTCCTCCTTGATTTTGCTTTCATCTCTCCTTGGCTCCTCAATGGCACTTCGGGCTTTCAGCATCGCTTAAAAAAAAAAAGAAAGAAAATCCTAAAATCCTAAAATCATGCTCTGCTCCTGCCCGAAGTGCCTTTGTAACAGCGGTGGCTGCTGCCTCGGGCTTTGGACATGTGTGGACCTCTCCGAAGTTTACCTCCTTTCTGTTTTGTTTTCTCTTTCTCTTTCTTTTTCTTTTTTGTTTTTTCTTTTTCTTCTTTTTTTTTCTTTTTCTTTTTCTTCTTTTTCTTTTTTCTTTTTCTTTTCCTTTTCCTTTTCTTTTCTCTTCTCTTTCCTTTTCTCTTTTCTTTTCTCTTCTTTTCTCTTTTTTCTTTTCTTTTCTTTCTGTTTGTTTTTTTTTTATTCATTTTTCAACCTTTCGTTTCAGATGAGCCGAAGATGTAGGGACAAGCAGAAAGCCATGTGCAAGCCCGGAGCCGCTCCCGTGCGATCAGGGCTTGTCCGCTGAGACGCAGAGTCTAAAGCAAAGCCTGGCCCTTGCCCTCATCCCCGTGGCTAGCCGTTGCCGTGGCGCTGGGACGCCTCCCAGGCCGACCGTGTCCCCCTTCCACATGCACGGAAGCTCCTACCCGCGTACGGCGTTCACGCATACGTAGCTTCAGGACACCAAGAGGAATGCAGAATATTTTCTAGTAAACTTAAAGCCAAGGGAAAAAAAAAAGCCAAGGGAAAAGCGATGGTGGCCAGCTGCACGCGTGGGGCGCTTCCCCGTATTCCCCGCCTGGCTGCCACGTTCATGTTTCCGCAAATGGGCCGCCGGTGCCGCGAGCCTTGGCCGCGTCCTCCTCACGCAAAGCCCACCGGTTACTCCGTTTCACCCTGCAGCGCAGCCTTTAACGTCTGACTTCCCCGCTGTATGATGCCTTGGCCACACGCCGCGTCCCATGAAGCAGGTCCTTGCTGTCTCTCTGACCAGTTTTTTTTTTTTAATTAAATGGGTGACTATCCCACTTCTCCAGGGTGGGGGGAAGAAAAATATCCACTTATTTAGGAATGACCCACAAACGTCACAATCTGAGAATTTTGAATTTAGGTGACATCAGGGTGGCGTGTGCCGACACGTGAGAATCTGTGCATCTTGGAAATCCCCGTAAACGTGAAATCACCTATAGGTTTTTTCTTTTTCTTTATTTTTTTTTTCTTAAAGGTTTTTTCTACCCCTGCGTACATCTGGGCATCTCCTTCCCTTGGGCATATAAATCGCTTTTCTCATCTCAACCTCATGCAGAGACTTGGCATCGCCTCCGGCCTGGGGTGGGGTGGATGGTGGTGATGTCAGGGCTGGATCACTGGCCGGCTGTGGGGTTAGCATGGCTGGTTGATGGGGTGGTGAGCTGTCATGGGGGCCCTGCATGGTTTTTTCTTGAGTCTGGTCACCCCTCAGTGGTCACCGTGGCCACTGACTGGTGCTTTGGATGATGTGCGTGTGTGTTTTTTAGTTCTTATAAAAGGACGCTTGCTCTCAGGTTAGCACTTTGGCCCGTGTGCCCCCGAGAAGCAAGTCCTCAGTGTGGCCTACGATGAGGTGCTGCTGGTCAGTGGTCCCCCAGGGCCGTGGTTTTGCCTCCAAATGCATGCTGTGTGTATACTTAAATAATCCCCAGGCACGGAGAGCTGCGAAAGCTGCAAATTCCATAACCGCTCTAGCAGCCACATGTGGTCCCTAGGGCCGCAGAAAAGCACGCGCATTGCCTTTGTGTAAGTTGAGATGTGGTGTGCTTGGGTTTTTACATTTGGATGCAGAGTGGATTCCCCAGAACCTGGCCAGTCTCCCTGTACGAGCCCGCGGCACGACGGGGCTACGGGTGGTTGGGTCTCGAGGGCTTGCATGGGTCTCCTCTGGGGAGACGGGGGATCTGACTGTGCATCCCTGGTGGTCACCTCAGCTGGGGTCCTTCTCAAGAGTTGGCACTTACCAACAGCCGTGTGGCATTCCAGCAAACAGCATTACCAGCAGAATCTGGGAGAACCGCCTGGGGGGCAAAGCCACGTCTGAATCACAGCCATCTGACCCCAACGGTGCTGACGTTAGTGCTCTGTCCCCCGTGCACGCTGATTCTGGGGAGCGCAGGTTGTGTCCTTCTCCCCAGAGGGCACACACATGGGTCGTGGACCATGCAGCAACCACCCTGCTCGCTCCGCGGCACCCTCCCTACAGTGCTGCCTCCAGAAGGTTCTCCTCGGAAGCTGGCGGTGTGTGATGGCAACGTCAAGTAGCATCAGAAGATGCCCTTTGACGTGTTGCCCCCACAACGGATGTGGCCATTAGTCCATCTCGCCGCTCCAGCGGGCGTGTACCGCTGTGTTCTCAGTCGCCACCGGATGAGCTGTCCTGTTGCCATGTGCTCGCTCTACACCTTGTGTGTTCCCATGGCCGCCACCTGCCCTGCCAGCACGAGACCCAACATGTGTGCACTTACGGCTCTCTTATAACCGTCTGGGTCTCCTTTTTTGGAGGCTGGGGGATAGGGGGACAGATTACGGGCTTTCTTGCACTCCCACTGGGCCTGTTCTTCTGTGACCTGGAGCAGAAGTCACATGGTGTGTCTTTTCATGACAGGATTCTCCCCCCACCCGCCACCCCGCTAAAAGCAATGTATTTTGTATAACAGTTTGAGCTTTGTGAACGGTCTTGGATGTCGTTTGCTCGGGCCCCTTTGCGGCCGCTGTTCCTGAGCGACACCACCATGGAGAAATAAACGCCTCTTTGCCTGTGAAATCTGTCCGCTGTCTTGAATTCGGTCAACTCGTGCTGTAGATCTTGGGGGTGGAGGGACGATTAGGGAGGGGCCTTGGTCGTGTCTGCTCTGATGTGTGTTTGGCAGATTTCAAAATAGAAATTAAGAATTAAAAAAAAAAAGCAACAGATAACAACAAGAAAACCCAAAAGCAAGCCAACGGGACCCTGTGAAGCCCTGTTAGTCTTCGATTCCCTGTGGATGGGGCTGCACTGAGCAGGTCTGCATCTCCGTCCCTCCTGGCCCCATTGATTGTGGGGGGTGGATAGGAGGGCGGGGAGCTGGTTCCAATGACAGTGACATTAGGGTGCATTCTTGGTATTCACCCCCTTGGGGCATCTTTTGTGCTTCCTTTCAGCCGACCAAGGTGACACCAGCACGAAAAACCAGCAGAGCACCAACGCCGAGCAACCAGGTGAGCAGCCGGGCACCAGCCCTTGTATCTTCTGTCCTCCTGCCGTGCTTCTGCGCAGCTCCATGGCGCACTGTGGGGCATTCCATGAGTTCCTCTGTGTACCCACGTTTCTGAGGGGACGGGCTCCAGTGACGCTGTGTAGACGCTCTGGGGCTTGAGGCTTTCAGATGACACCCACTGTTGTCTCCGACTCTCTTTAATGATCAATGATGAGACTTGGCCCGCGGTGCCCCCCTCGTGGCTACATGCTCGGGAGGTCAGCCGGCTGGTGTGCAAATGAATTTTTCATGAGATTTTTACTTATTTTGAATTTGAAAAATAGGCACTTTTAGGAAGTGCGTGTCTTACTTGGGGCAACTTCAAAATGGGGAGAGATGTGTCACACAAGGCATCATTGTTGAAGTACCCAAAAACGCACAGTAGACCTCTACACCGTAAATGACTTGATGAGAAAAATGGTAGTCCCAAATGATTTTAAATTAATAAAAACCACGGCACCTGATTAAGAAAATTATGTGTGGTGAGATTTGGCAGATCACAGATGTTTTTGGCCGTGTCAGAGAAGCCGCTGGGAGAAATTGCCTTCTCCTATTTTTTTCCCCTACTTTTCCTGGGGTATCTTTTTTTTTTTTTTTTTTTTTTTTCTAGCTAGAGTTGATCATACTCTGAAATTTGTTGAATCTGTTTCCCCTGGGAGGTTAGAGTCGGTTTTTGCTTTCTGTCGGCAATGTGTTTGGCCTGCATTTGTCTTCCGCAGCGAGGGAGTCACCTGCGTCTGAAGTGTTTGAGGTGCAGATGGTGACATGCAGGTTTTCGGGGGACCTGGGCATGCCGTGTGAAGTCATTCCCTGTCTGTTTGTCCTTGACAGTTCAGTGGACTCTTCTGGAAAAATAGAAGCTTGGCCACAAATGCGACTCTGTGACAATCCCCGCAGGAGGACGAGTCTGGCCTGCTGCGTCCTCCCGACAAACGCAGGCACCAGGGCAGAGCCAGCCACGCCGGGATCCAGCCCCATCCTGTCCATGCCTTTGTTCACGCTGAGACTCTTTCTTTTGACCTTGACATGCGTTGTGCCTGTTTGCACCACGCTGGGTAGATGAGGGATACTCGTGCGGCGCGTTGCATCCCGAGGGGAATGGCGCTCACGCTATCCGTGGCCGTTAGGTGTTTCCCCATGGGGTGTGAAAGGCCGATTGTCCATCACAGTCAGTCCATCAATCCAATGCTGACCCCACAAAGTTCCCCCACCCGGAACTCTGGGTCATGTGACCAACAACGTGTGAATTAAACACAACCGTCCCCTGACATTGACCCTTGGATACAGTGACATAAGCCTTCAATTAGCGTCCTCAGAACCTCCTTCATTGGGTAAGATTTTTTTTCACACCACACTAATAAAAAAATAAAAAACCAAGTACTTTTTACTTAAATGTCTTGCCATGGGGTGACCTTTAAAGGAGGCTGTGGAGAGTAGTGGAATAGACCCCGTGGTGCCTTTTCTGGGACTGTAAGACAGTTGATTGACCCAAGCATCCCCCTGCATTTTCGGGATTTTCTTTCTCTGCCTATTTGCCTCCTCTGGTCTGGTACACCAAGGACATTCAGATACTCCCCTGGGTTACATCCTTCTCTGTATTCAGATACTCCCTCATGTCTAGATACTCCCGTGCATTCATATATTCCCTTGGATCAGATACTCCTGTCCATTCAGATACTCACCTCTATTGCATACTTGTCTGTATTCAGATACCCCCCTACATTCGGATACTCCCCTGCATTATATATTTCTCTATACTTAGATACTCCACTGTATCAGATACTTCTCTGCCTCCAGACACTCCCCTACATCAGATACTCCTCTGCAATTCAGCTACTCACCTACATCAGATACTTCCCAGTGTCAGTTATTGCCCTGCATCCAGACACTCCCCTACATTCAGAGATAGTCCTCTTCATCTGATACTCCTGTAGATTCAGATTCTCCCCTGCATCAGATATCGCCCTGCATTCAGGTACTGCCCTCTTGTTCTGTGGGGTTTTTTTTTTGTGGAAATTTGCCACCTGTAACGTCCTTACAAAGTGTTTTAACTGCTTTGATGTGAGAGCTTGCTTTAACTTTGGGGTAAAAGTGCTTTGTGGCAGAGGACCTCCTGCTTTGTGTCCTAAAGACTCGAACTGAAAGCATCAACTCTTCCTCCTTGAAATAAACAATGACTCTTCTACGTCAAGAAGCACGTCCCCAATGTAGGGCCCTGCACACACACATGCACGTGCACGCACAAGGCGGCAGAGATGCATGCTTGTATGTGGCAGTTTGCAAAGGGCTTCGTTGAGATCTTCATGTTCACGTCATGACGTGCAGAAGCCCTGATGTTCTAGGTGCATACACTTCCCTCCACTGAAGAAGAATTAGGACACCTTCATCAGCTTCCAGTGACACGGCAGGCTCATGCAAATCTGTTAGGACAGTCGTGCAGAGAATGGCATGTTGGTGAGGATGCCTCATCTCATCATCAGTAGTGATGTTCAGAGGTGCAGCATGTTGTCCAAGCCAGGTTCACACACATCTGTCCCTATCGAGGGGTATGCTGGCATCACACCTAGATGGTGTGCCATCACATATCACCAGATTTTGGGGAAGGGCTGGGGTGGAAGTATCAGTCATCCATCATGGGTCTTTGTCACTTGGAAGCTCAGAAACACTGCTGGCAGTCTGGGCGGTGGGCCCCTGAGCCTTCGTCCCTTGTGTTAAGGACTCCATCCCTCCCCGGACACTATCCCTCCATTAGCTCCTACTTCCCTCCATTGCCTACGAGGTTTCAAGCTTCATTCTCAAGATCCAATGGGGAGCATGGTCTCTGGCTCTTTTTGCATTTAACTTCTTTTTCCTGTTTTTCATCGATGGTAACCTTTGAGTCTGTGAAGTGGTAAAATAAAAAAAAAAATGGTTGAGACCCCTGAGTGTGTATCCCATCCATTCATTAATTCATTTTGCAAATAGCTACCCCCCTGTGGCTCAAGTGTGTACGGAGTTGGACATGACACTGGATTCTGGAGGACATAACACAAACATCTCAAGAGCTGGGGTCGACCAGTTGTCAAGGGCTGAGGGCTGGATTATCTAATACCCTTGGGCCCTGTTGCTTAGCTAGCACGAAACACCTAGGTGACAGACACAGCACAGAAGTATCCACGTTCTTCTCAAATGAGCCTTTAAGGTCAGATTCCGCATGCAAACTTGCTTTATAATTTAAAAATGCATAAACTCTGTAACTCTGTGAACAACAGTGACATTTTTGTAAGCATTGCAGTCATACTATCAGCGTAAATGTCTCCTTAAAGACGAGAATACGGAGACCATGGGTATTTTTTTTTTCAAGGTATATGAAATCATGACTCCTTTGTAAATAAATCTGTACATTTAAGCGGTACATCAATGGGACTGATTTTTTTTTTTTAATGGAGGGTGGATGCCCATCTTTGTAGAACCGCTTTGAGTTCACATTGACATGAAAAGAAACCATCTTCTGAAAAATCAAATTGGAATTAGGTGGCTCATTTGGTCATTAGGTATCTTGACAAAAATGGCTTTGTTTAATCATTTTCAGGCTTCTATATGAAGAAGGCATAGTGTCACGGTTTTGAAATCAGGATTAGAAAATGTATGTAAGGGCTAATGGGACACAGTAACACGGTTAGAGGGTTTGGTTTCTTTTTATTTTTTTATTTTATTTTTATTTTATTTTTTACGGTTAGAGGGTTTCAACCTGGGTTATGATGTATTTAGCCAGGCGATGTGAGCTGTGTGCAGGTTGTTGCCACCAAGGAATCCCTGACATTCTACATTTATCGGAGCGTCTGTATGTTTATTGTCTGAGGTCAGCTTTGTTAGGCAAGAGGGTGTGTGTGTGTGTGTGTGTGTGTGTGTGTGTGTGTGCGTGCGCAGAGGGGGTAATTGGCTTCTGTCTTAGGGAGAAAAATTAAAAATTTTTTTTTATATTTTATTTCCACTTCTTCATTGGAAAAATCATCCATGTTTCCTGAGATTTCAAATGCCACTGCGTAGATTTGAACAAAGAATTTCCTTCTAATTGTTCAACATTCACTACATCCTTATGACTTTGTACTATTGTTATGTCTCCAGTTTCGGTTCTCAAATGAGGGTTGGATGATACGCTTCCCCATTTCTGTGCTTTTAATTTCTTATCCATGTCACTGGCTTTCGTTGGGTTCATCAGCCTTCCACGCAGACGTACCTTGATTCCAACACTAATCTCCATGCTTTTCCATCGTTTCTTATTGAATATTGTAAATATTCCAGCCTCTGAGCTCACGTGTAGACACGGATCATTCCTACTTCTATTTTCCAGAGAGACAACACTTGCTAGGAGGCAGGTCGTCAGAGGTCCCACTCTGGAGGTTGTGGGCCCCCTACGCGGCCCTGGGCTCCTCACCTCCCTGCACCCTGCTGGCTGCCTCCACTTCCCACGACACCTGCAGCTCTTTGCATTTTTATTGTTAGCCTGGGGTGATTGAAACAGGCATTTTATATTCTGCAAATTTTT